ATAGAATTGCTTAAACTGAGATATCTGTGAGTGCTTTACTGAGATGGTAAGAGCATGGTGGGTGGTAAGTGATGCTAACCTTACAAATTATCCAGGCTAAAATGACTCCAGTGACACCATGGCTCAGAACCTTGGTGCTTTAGTTATCATTTTGTTTGAGCATGGGGGAAGCCCAGAAGTGTTTGGCAGAGGAGCTAAGCCCTGGACTTGTCCTTTGTGCTCTTTTTTTGATCATTTCCATGTAGAAATGGAGTGCTTTTTCAGTCAGGAATTTTTCCTGGCTAAGATCTTACTTGTTCCTTGTTGTTGATTGCCTTCGAGTCGACCACAACTCATAGTGACCTTATGAAAAAAAAGGCCTGAAGCCCCTCTACAACCATCTACATTTATCAAAGTTCATAGAGTTTCCAGGGGCATATTGTTTAGGAAGTGGATGCCACTCCTCCTTCCAAACCTGTAAGATATGTGATTTCTTCCTCTGGCAGGGCTGATTATGAAAATGTATATATCTGCCTTTAACTGGGAAAATAGAATATTTTCTCTCTAGTCTCATATCAGCAAATATAACTCTTCTTTTTAATACTAATAAAAACTGAGTTATGAGATATAATTTTTACTTTCGGAGCACTGATTGAAGGTTATGCAGCACGTCCTTTCCTCCTGACACTCTAAAATCAATCCTTAAATTAAGGCAGACTGTCGGAATGCAGCCCCTCCTAGAGCTACTGCTGGTAGTGAACAGTAATCTGGGCCTCTCCTGTGAGAGCCCTGAGGAAATGTCCTGACCTGGGTGTACACAGTAGGGAAATTGATGCAAACAAGACTCTGTGTTCCCGCAACACAGAATGTTCTTTTTATAAAGACCCACAGGAAAATGCTTCCCTCCTCCCCCGAAGCTATTGCAGTACTGTAAGCACACAGACCAGAATTGAGTGACTGACTGTGTTTTCCTTATTGCCCAGCCTGCTCAGAGCCAAGTTCATGAGTGCATTTTTGAAAAAAATAAATGAAGTGGAATTTAAACAAATTTTAAAACCTCCACTAACATAATTATAGACCACAGTATAGAGAAACAAGTAGTAGTAGTAGTATGTTGTTGCTGTTGTTGTTGTTGTTATGTGCCGTCAAGTCGCCTGCGACTCATAGCGACCCTATGTACAACAGCCCTAAACTCCGCTCTGTCCTGTGCCAATCGCACTGTCTCTGACACTCCCATCCCGATTATCCCAGTCACTGAATCAATCCACCTCATAGAGGGCCTTCCTCTCCTGCGCTGTCCCTCCACCCTCCCAAGCATGATGTCCCTCTCTAAGGACCGGTCTCTCCTCACAACATGTCCAAAGTAAGTTAGACGGAGCCTCAGAATCCTTGCCTCCAATGAGCCACCCGGTTTAACCCTTTCCAGGACAAATCTGTTTGTTTTCCTAGCAGTCCATGGTATTCTCAATACTCTTCTCCAGCACCACAGCTCAAAGGCATCAATTTTCCTTCTATCCTCCTTGGTCATTGTCCAACTCTCTGATGCATAACAAGTGATTGCAAAAACCATGGCCTGTATCAGGCACACCTTAGTCTCCAGAGAGATACCATTGCTCTTCAGCACTTTGGGGAGGTCCCTAACAGCAGACTTTCCCATAGCAATGTGCCTTTTAATTTCCTGGCTGCTGGTGCCAAGACTGTTGACTGTGGACCCAAGCAAACTAAAGCTGTGTACAATCTCAATCTCTTCACCATCCATACTGATGCTGCCAATTGGTTCAGTGGTGAGAATCTTTGTCTTCTTGACATTGAGCCTCAATCCATATTGTAGGCTGCAGTCCTTGACACTCTGCAGCAGGCACTTCAGGTCCTCCTCAGTTTCAGCAAGCAGGGTTGTGTCATCCGCATAACGCAGATTGTTGATGAATCGTCCACCAATCTTGACCCCACATTTCTCCTCATAGAACCCAGCCTCCCGGATAGGATGTAAAAAAACCCCAAGGAGTCAATTGGTAGAAGCAAAAGGAAGGCATTTCAAGAAGGGAATTATGAACAGGAATCCATCACTAGAAATGTCAAATAAGATAATGATATAAACAAGTGTACTAACTTGATCAATTAGGAAGCCATCTGTGACATTGGCTAACGTTGTTGTTTCTGTAATGTGTGGTTAGAGATGAAGCTTTGCGGTGATTAAGTGGTGAAAGAGTAGTGATTCAGAAGCATCGATAGTTTTAAAAGAAATGACTGGGTATTGAATTAAAAAGAGAAGTGGTTGTAATTTGAGGACAAAGCAAATTTGGAGGGTTTATTTATTTTTTTAAATAAAATTTTTAATTTTAATTGTGATTTTAATGAAAGTTTACAGAAAAGTTAGATTTCCTGAAACTGAAGAAGACCTGAAGCACTTGCTGCAGAGGACTGTAGTCTTCAATATGGACTGAAGCTCAATATCAAGAAGACAAAGATTCTCACCAGTGGACCAATTGGCATCACCATGATAGATGGAGAAGAGATTGAGGTTGTAAAACATTTTAGCTTGCTTGGCTCCACAATCAACACAATTAACACTAGCAGCCAGAAAACCAAAAGAGTAATTGCCTTGAGAAAATCTACTCTCAGGGACCTCTCCAGAGTCCCGAAAAGCAATGATATCAGTCTAGAGACTAAGGTATGCCTAGTCCAGGCCATGACAATGACAATCAACAACAACAACAACAACAAAACAACAACAACAGCATTGTTACACAGTTTTATCCGCCTCTCCCTCCTTTTTCCCCCTCCCCAGTTCACTTTGTAAAGGATGAAAGACTTAAGCTAAGTTTAGGATAGTAGATGGGAGAAAGTTAACTGTCATGATACTGCGATCATCTATGGTGTGACCTTTGGGTTTGGAGTTCTCATTTGTGAAACGTAGTGACCTAACTTAGTTACCTCTAATATTCTTCTTTGTGGTTTAGTGTTCTACGTTATTGTTGGTGTGTGCCATTGAGTTGCCTATAACACATTGCGACCCTGTGTAAAACTCCTTTGAAGCTTCCCCTGTCCTGAGCTAGTCTTACGAACTCCAACTATTGTCCAAGTTACTGCATCAATTTGTCTCCTCAGGGGTCTTCGTATCCTGTACTATACCTTTCAAATATTATGTGCTTCTCCAAGGACTGGTCCCTTCTGGCCACATGCCTAAAGTATGTGAGATGGAACTTCAAAATCCTAGCCTCTAAGGAGAAACTTGGTTTCACCCTTTCCAAGACAGACCTGTTCTCTTGGCTATTCCCGTGTAAGTGTCCTATAGTATATTCATGAATGGAGGAAATGTATGAAGAAAAAGGAATAATAAAGTAATTCAAACAAAACAATGCTTGAATCACAGATACACTTTATCGTTTTTAGTAAGCTGCTTGAAATGCTGAGCTTACAACTTTATATCTTGATGAAAGGAAAGAATGCAACACAATTTTCATACCAATCTTTCCAGTACCAAAGAATCTGCTTTGTTTTATGCAACCAGCACAATAATCGTTGCTGTAGATTGTATTAAATTTAAATGGACAGAAATTCTTTTATTCTGCTTCCACTAAGAGATAGCATCTGGAGTTCTTCCATGGGATAAACACAGACTCTATGGGTGCTTAGCTATCAGAACGTAAGAATGTGATGGTGTTTCTGGACCTTAAAGACTGGCAGCTTCTGCTTTGGTTCCTATAAATATTCCACAAAATATTCTCAGCAAAAGACGTGGTTGAATACTGCTTGTAGCCCTATAAGCTAATCAACTTGGAAATAGATTTTCCACATCAGTAGTGATACCGCAGTCAATACAACACGGGACAAAGAAGAATCATTCCCACTAATCTCTTCCCAGATTTGAAATATATGGGGAAAATAGGTGATATTTTTATGCCATTAAGTTTAGAATAGTTTGAAATGCTGCAATAGTTAACTATATCATGCAGCTTGCATATCTTCACTGGTAACCCAAATCCTGTCAGCATGGTTGGTTCTGCTATCATTCAATACATGCCGTGGTTTTTCTGAAAAGTCTTGTGTCTTACAAAATTGCATACTTATTGTATGGAGTTAATAGGGAAAGAAAAAAATAGGGCCTTCTCAAAACCTGTAGAATTTAATAATGAGAGAGCATCCGTTAAAACAGTAACAACCTTATTAAAAAGACCAGTCAGAGCAAATCTCCACTGGCTTTTGTACTTAGAATCGTAGTGCGTCTTTACTAAACTTACATTCTGGAGCTAGTTTCCCTAAAGACACATGTCCCATTTTCAGAAAGCTCTAGGAAATGTAAAGCATACGAATTCTTACAGCTACTAAATCAGTTATTTTCAGCACAAAAAGAAGCCTCTTCTGTAGGAGTTTCATATCTTTTTTTGCCTTTTCTTTAAGGTTTCCATGTACTGCTAAAGCTTTCTCTTCAACTAGAAGTAGACTGTATTGCCTCAGAACTAACGTTAATGGAAATAAATGAAGAACCAGGGAATTTCAGCATTAATAGACTTTTTTTCCATTATATTTCACTTACACATGGGCTAATTTACATTACAGAAACAGAGACTATCATTAGTTAGCCTGTAACACAAAGTTTTTCTCTTTGTGCCACAAAAGGATACACATATTGACTGACAAGGCCCAATCCACCTGTTGTCATAGTCCCCTGTCGTGAACCTACATGTCTCATGGCCTACGTGGTACATTTTCCGATACAAAGCCCAGAGCAGGTTGTTGTTCTGTGGAGGCAGCAGTTGGTGCTGCTTCAATTCCGTTTCCTTGACCAGATCCGTAAGGAAAGGGCTAACAGTGCACTGGGATCTAGGGCTGAGAAAAGGACGTGGAAAGTGTCTTCTACTTCAGAGATTAGTCATTCATTAGAGGGGCTGGGATAGGAACACCTGTTGCATTGTGGGTTATTTTGTCACTAATCTTTAAAACAGTGTCATAGATGGATTCCTTAAAGAGGTTGGCAGCTAACATAGACTTTGTAGGAAGAAACTTTGGGTCTAACTCACCAGGTAGATCATGTTCTGCTTCATCCACTGTCTCAATCTTGGAGTCATCAAGAAGTTGTGATCCCAAAGTAACATCCTGAAAAATGAATTTGAAGAAATATGTTGAGAAGGTACAAGTCACAGTTATGCTCTGTGTTATTTTATCATTGAAATTCAAGCAAATTATTTCATAGTTCATTTGGACCTACTGCAGAGGAGGAACCGTATATGTGTTCTGAAAAGGTAGTGATGTAATGAATCTATCTTTTGGCTCTTTGGCAAATCAAAACTTCTTGACTAGGATAAATAGAACTAAACTACTTTCAATGATACCCATGATGTTTGAATCCCTTTATTGGGAAAGAGATTAATTTGGCGAACACTTTTTAATGAGCACCTCAATACTGGAATAAGTTAAATGAATGTAATTTAAAATTAAATATTAATTGTTGATTTTAAAATATTCATTGACTAGAGTGTTAATTTGGTTCCTATAAATATTCCACAAATACATATTTATATAAAATCCTAAGACTTAGAAATACATTTAAAAATTATACTTATGTTTATTTTTGAAGGCCAAAGGTAAGTAATAAATTTTGCTGAAGTTATTATTCTTCTTTGATTCTTTTTTCCAAAAACAAACAATCTCAATTGTAATTGACACAAACATCTAACTAAACTGAACTTTACAATGTTTGAAATCGAAGATACAGTTTATTATACAAGTTCTGGAAGTAAGGTAACATAGAACTACTTGCAAAAATGACAGCTGGTTGGCTAGTCTATGGGAGTGGGAATTAAGCTGCTGTCTCTGGGCAGTTGGAATCCACTAACATGTCCATGGGAGAAAATGGGCAATCTCCTCCCATGCAGTTGACAACTTGCTGGAAGGTCAGCTGTAAGTCAGTTCAGCAATGAGCTGAATTGCATTTGGCTTGTAAATCAGAAACTAATACTAATTAGCATTGCAAAGGGGATTTCGCTTTGTTAAATCATTAAGCTTCTTTGTGATGGATGGTTTTGACGTTTAGCTACTATCTAAAAAATTAAAAAAGGCACCAAACTGACTTACCTGTATGACATCGGGAAGTGGTGTGGGCAGCACCGCTTGGGTGTCAGGAGCTGAGACTGGCAACAACCCAACAATTTCTGTGGGTGAAAAAACACAGGATTCAGATGTTTGTTTCTTTCTTCTTTTGGCAGTGAGAACATTAAAACAGAAGGGTTGGCACATGGAAATAACTAGTTCTATAAGAATGTTGTTGCCTGGTGTTCAGTTGATTTAAACACATAGGAATGTTATAGGGCAGAATACAATGGCTTCATAGGATCTCCAACTTAAGGTCTTTGTGGAAGCAGACTGGCACATCTGTGGCCTGATATAATGGTGTAACACCAGGGATTCTTTCTTAAAGTACAGTATTTTGAATAAGCCATCTATTTCCCTCTGGGAGCTGATTGACAGAAATGATGGATTCTTCTTGAGTTGCTCCTAAACTTAAATGAAACCCACTATCCTGACTCATGGTCAGACTCCTTTGGATCTCCTTGGCTATAAGTCTTGGTGGGAGGAGACCCTTTCTCCTGAAAAGTGACCAGTGAATTGGAACTACTGATCTTTCAGTTAGAAGCTTGATACATACATTATGCATTATGCCACCAGCTCTCATATTGAGTTTGCCAGGCAAGCTTAATTCCCCATGGCATTTCCTCTTCACTGGGGTTACAGTAAATTGCTATAGCTGACCTGAACTGAACGGAAGCATTTGATAGTCTCCCACAGTGATTCTTGATGTGAAATGGCCACCATAGGCTTATCAAAGTGACATGAGAAGAAATGAATCAAGACAGAAATGGCACAGTACATGATGCACCTGCCACAGAAATGCAGTATTTACTCTACAGGGTCCCAATTAAAATGACGGTGACAATGAAGCATTTAAATGTTCTAGTTTCTCTACCAGATTGTAAATAAGTCCAGAAATAGGAAAACATCAACTGACCGTCAATGAACTGAATTGTTCCCATGTCCACAGATTTATCTTCCTCGAGAGCTCTGCTGATCAGCTTTTTGAGATCTATAGCTGTGAGATAGATTTCTGGTTTCTTGTTCTCCTCAATGATTTCTTGACTTTCAATTTTGTTGAAGTCAAAAGACAACACATCACTTGATGGGCTCTTTGCTTCCTCACTGTCTCTCTTGAAGATGGCTACAAGTCGTACCTCCAGGAGGCTTGCACTGTAGACAACAGAGGACACATCTCACCCAAAGGTATTGTTACATATACTGCACAGAGGCTCACTATATTGATACAAAGTTTCAGGGCATCTTTATTCTTATGGTTCCTTAAAGGATGTCCTACTTCTGAACTAATTTCAATGTTTATCAGAAATTTAAAATGTAGGAGATTTTAGTACTGAAGAGAATGCTAGAACAAAGTTCACTCCAACTTGAAGAGGGATTACTAATTGGATCAAGTGATCACACATTTTTCTTTAGATTGGCTGTTGTAACCAATATTTGTCGTGGCCTTACAAGTCAAGTCAAACAGGTAGGATGAATTTTTCTTTCTGGAAAGAAACATCTTTAGGAAGCTATTTAAAACAGCATTGTATAATAGTGTGTTAATATTAATCACATGTTGCAACCAAGGAAAAAGCTTTATTTCCTAGGTAAATTTCTTTTTTCCCCCCAAGAAGTGTTTTGTTTTGTTTTTTAATTTAAAATAAAATAGAACTCAAATGGAAACATATTTTCTTTCTTCATATTAGAAGAAAGAAGACTAATAGCACATTATTAACTATCATTAAATTAATTTACTCAAAGCCTTTGTGTAAAAATGCAGTAGAATTCTCTGTAGTTCTGTCCTCTAGAATCAGGTTTTTACCTTTTAGTTCATACATATCATAAATCTACATAGAAAGATGGTATAGAAGCCACAAGAACTGATAATGTGCTTTCTTGGAAGTTCTTTAGCTTACACAATCGATCAGAGCCAGTAGTTTGTTATTTTTCTGGTTAATTATAGAAGCCAAAGCTTGATTCATGTAACTGGTTTAAGGGATAGTATATCTTTTCACAATTTATATTGACCTTGGGATCAGGGAGCAAATGACTTTCTCTGCTTTATTACAGAACTAGATTGCATGTATGAATATCCACTCAGGCAGACCATTTACCCTCACAAATGACGCTTAAGAAATAGTTAAAGCATGCTTACATCATAGATACATGCTTTTCTACTGAAACCCTGAGTTTCATAGAATATTCTTTAGTTTACTAATCAATATTTACCTGCTTAACTCACATAGTGATTTTACCCGCAGCTTTGCCTCCTTATTATTGAAAAATTGATTAATCACTCTAAATAAGAAATCACTAAAAGATCATTGGCTATTCCAGACATCATATATATAGTTATTTGAAATAGGTGAGCACAGAACTAGATTTGGGAAAGAAATATGCCATATTCCGAGATGTAAAATAAAATTAAAATAAAATGAAATAAGTTCCAGTTACCCATCTCTTCCTTTCTTTGGTCTTCATGACATCGTTCAGAATGAAAACATGTAGGAGAGAGATAGATTTTATTAATTTGAGATATTCAATTCATATTGCGCATTGAGAAGAATGGCATATTTGTCTTTTTCATAACCTTCCATTTTTGCCCAGAGCTTTGAAGGAAACATACAAATTACTACCCATATCTGGATGAAAATTCCAAGAAATATATATTTATCTCAATAAAGAAATATGCACTTTTGACCTTCCCCCTGGACTTGATTTCTTCATATTTCTCTTTCAAAGGCTGCAAATATGTCCCATACATCTTACATTTATGGTGTTGTTGATGCCAGGAGGTTTTCAAAAGCATTTAGCAGATGATTTTCTTACCTCCTGAATGGCATTAAAAAATGTAGTAAATCTCTGAACAACTAGTCCTTAAGGAAGGAACACAGAGAGCCTCGCACATCCCATGCTGGGCTGCTAATGGAAAGATCAGTGATTCAATTTCATCAGGAGAAAGATGACCAGTCTCCGCAAAAGTATGTTGGGATTGACTGATTGACAATGGGCTTTTGTTCCAAAGAATAACCTTCCATTATGCTCAGTGAAATATCTCAGCCACAAAAAGACAAATGGTGTAAAACACCAGTGTTATAAAGCAGTACTGCGTGGGGGTTGGGGGGAAAACTAAGAAAACAGGGATTAATCTATAAAATAACTTCATCCATTGGAATGGATGAAGGGAAGAACTGTTTAAAAGGCATGTATGATTAGGTATTATCTGTATGACAACAGGGCAGAATAAGAGGTGCATAGCAAAGTGAACAGCGGGAGGGGTGGGAAGGGAATGGAGGAAATTATGCAACGATGAATTAAAATTTTCTTTAAAAATGAGCTGGGAGGGTAGGGAAGAAACTGCAACTGTGAGTGAATTAAAAACAAACTTTCTGTATACTTTTCTTAAAATTGCAATTAAAAAAATGCAAAAAAAGAACTTCCATAAAGTCTACTGTATTCAATAGTGGAGTTAGACACAATTATTTCTAATAACGAGCATATACTCCTTTGTGACACTCATGAAAATAGTGTGCAGCTTAAGCAGTTGCTAAGCTTGAGGAAGGAGAAAGGCCTCTTCCTTTTAAATCGGATCACACACTGCCTTAAACACTGTGTTAAGTGTGTATTTTTGATTTTGGTTGCATTTTCCCCTCTCATTTACTCATGTAAAGAAGCTCCAAAAGGAAATCTGATTCAAGTGCTGGTGAGGCATTGAAGAAAATGAAAAGTATTGCGATTGAAATGAAAGTGAAAATAATGAAATTATCAAGAAGTGAAATGCTATTCATCATGGGAAAAGCCTCAGGCTACAGTCAGTCAACTACTAGAACAATTTCAAAGGATCAAGTGAGAATAATGGAACATGTGGAAGGCTCTGCCCCATGGACATTAAGATTGTTACGAAGCAATGCTGTGGTTAAGTGATTGAAAATTTAGTTTGAAAGTTATTGACAATTTGGTTAAATGATCAAGATCAGTGTTACAGGCCTATTAATCATCTGTGCAAGAAAAAGCTTAAAGCTTTTTCCAATGGCTTATAAGCTGTACGTGAGCAAGTGAAAACGATTGTGATGAAGAAATTGTTGTGAGTCATTTCAAAGTAAGGACAACTGTATATTATATTAAATGCAAGATAAAGCAGCAAGTACTAATGCAAGCGCTGAGTGATTTTCCTAAATTATTTTTTTTAAAAAAATATTATTGAAAGGAAGAAGGGGTGGAGGGAGTGTGTGCCAAAAAGATCAAAATTTTAAAAGGGGAAAAAATCACCAGGGTCTAAGGCATTAAAAGATAGGACAATGTTATTGACTGAGTGTATTACGGCCAGGAAATGAAAGCTTTTGCTTTTGTTACTCTCTCACCTGCTCATTGCCATCCAGGTCTGAAATGACTCATGGCTGACCCTTCAATGGATTTCTCAGGTTGCCAATCTCACAGGAGGAGATTGTCCATCTTTCTCCCTTGAATTTAAGGTATGTCTTCCCTTTATTTGGAAGGCCTTGGATTCTAATTGTAATCTTTGCAAAAAGGTTCTTGAACCTTTCTGTCCATGATGGTCAGTGTTATTATTTGGCTAAGAAAATGCCTTTTCAGAATTCCCTTTTGTGGTTGACAACACACCTGAATATCAAACACTTTTGATGACTTTCACCTCAATGTAACGGAGAGATTTTGACCTTCACGCACCAGCCCCAGCTCCACATTGCTACAGGAAAGCCCATTATTAATGGCGTATTTTCTCACAAGCAGTCAGGGCTACTCAAGATAATATGATATGAGGAGTTTAACGAAGTTCTAGAGGAATTATCACATCTGTGATGCCATCAAACAGCCCTGATGACACAGTGCGTGTGTATCTCCAGCTACTAACTGAAAGGTTGACAGTTTGAGTCAACCAGCTGTACACCTACCTAGACACATAAATAAACCTACAGATGCTCTCTCTTTAGTGCAGCAACATATGTAGTTATTCTTATTATTACTTTATTATTTGTTATATTAATAAGTATCAGTATATTGTTTCTTAATGTTTAACTGTTTCTTAAGCATCTCAGATGTTCTTATTTACCAACAAATTTAACCTAAAGACAGATTTAGGGATTGATCTCTTTGTAACATAGGGCTTGACTCTACTTTATTTCTGACACTAATTTCCCCATTTGAGATAAAAATCTGTTACTAGTCTTTGGTTGACTGATTATTTCTCAAATGGCTTCAATCAGCGAAACTTGAGGAAATTCACCAAAATACATGTTGCAAGAAAAACAAATACTGTGTATTAAGTGAGAAATTTAGTCTAGATAGTGTCATGAGTCTCTGCATTCTCATTTAATGTTTTTTGTTGTTGTTGTTATGTGCCGTCAAGTCACCTGTGTCTCATAGCGACTCTAGGTACAACAGCCCTAAACCCTGCTCTATCCCTTGCCAATCTTATTGTCTCAGACACACCTATCCCCATTACCCCAGTGACGGAATCAATCCATCTCATCAAGGGTCTTCCTCTCCTGTTCTGTCCTTCCACCCTCTCAAGCATGATGTCGCTCTCCAAGGACTGATCCTGCCTTACAACATGTCCAAAGTAGGTGAGATGAAGCTTCAGAATCCTTGCCTCCAAAGAGCATTCTGGCTTCACCCTCTCCAGGATGAACTTGTTTGTTCTCCTAGCAGTCCATAGTATGTTTAATACTCTTCTCCAGCACCAAAGCTCAACTCTCCTATTATTCCTACTCATTGTCCAGCTCTCTGATGGGAATCAAGTAATTGCAAAGACCATGACCAGTATCAGGTGCACCTTAGTCTCCAGACTTACATCGTTGCTCTTTAGTGCTTTGGAGAAATCTCTGACAGCAGACTTTCCCAATGCAATTTGTCTTTTAATTTCCTGGTTGCTGGTACCAAAAGTGTTGATTGTAGAGCCAAACAAACAGAAGTTGTCAACAATCTCAATCTCTTCATCATCTATCATGATGCTACCAATTGGCCCAGTGGTGAGAATCTTTGTTGTCTTGATGTTGAGCTTCAATCCATACTGAAGGCTGCAGTCCTTGACCTTCTGCAGCAAATGCTTCAGGCCCTCCTCAGTTTTTGCAAGCAGAGTTGTATCATCTGCATAACACCAATTGTTAATAAGTTTACTTCCAATCCTGATACCATATTTCTCCTCATAGAGCCCGGCCTCCTGGATAGTCTCTGTTCTGCATATAGATTGAAAAGATATGGAGATATGGCACATCCTTGATGCACATCTTTCCCAATTTTGAACCATGCAGTGTTTCCTTGCTCTGTTCTGACGACTGCTTCCTGGTCCAAGTCTAGGTTTCCCATAAGCACAATCAAGTGTTCTGGAATTCTCATAATTAATATAATATTTTCTAATAATTACTATAATCTCCACTTTACATATAAGAGGACAGCCATAGAGCTTGCTCAGGTCAAAACCAGGAATCAAATGCTGACTGGTCTGACATTCAAGCTTGGGCTAGTTTCGCCATACCACCCTCTTGTTGTGGTGGTTGTGCTGTAAAGTCAGAACACACTCATAGCTCATCCTCTGGTAGATTTTCAGAGGCAGTTAATCACATGGGAGGAGAATGCCCATCCTTCTCCTGTGGAACAGCTGGTAGATTTGAACTTCATGCCTTTGGAATTGCAGCACAATTTCTTACCTCTAAGCCACCAGAACTCCCTTACCACTAGGCTACCATCTGTTAGGCTTTTTAACAAAAAGTTGAGCAGTCATCAAAGTAAGGACTGTTTTAGACTTCCGTGGGCATATATAAGGAGCTTGAGTAGCCTACTGCTGGTAAGGAGTTGTGCTATCAACCATGGAAGAAAGATGGGCAGTCTCTTTCTTTGCAATCTGCACTCCCTGGAAACCTGGCAGAAGGTCAGCTATAAGTCAGTTTAGACTTGATGGGACATAACAACAACTAGAGGCGTGTGTGTGTGTGTGTAGTTGTCTTTGTGTACTGTCAAGTTAGGACCAACTCATAGCTGACCCTCCAGTGGGTTTTCAGAGGCAGTAAAACACTTGGAATTTGATTTCCCATTTTTCTCCTTTGGAGCAGCTGTGTTTAGCTTTCTCACTTTATGAAGTTACTGTAGTGCACATATCCATCACCCCTAAGACTTTTCTCAAACCTTTCTGTAGTCTCTCCCTCTCTCTTACATCACTTCCCCTCACCTTTCCCAATTATTCCTTTGCTTTCTGCCCCTGTAACTAGCTTGTATTTTCTAGAGTTACATATAAATAGAATAATAATACGTTCCTCTTTTTTACAGCTTCTTTCATTCAACATAATTATTTTGAGAGAAAACATTCCAATAATTCATTCTTTTGCTGAGTGTTTTATAAGACTATATTATAAACTATTTATCCATTACCCTGTTGATGGATATTTGGGGTTTTTCCAGTTCTTGGCTATTATAAATAATTTCTTTTTACATTTGTATATGAGTCTTTGAAGATTTTCCCCTCAAAGCATATTCATGATGGTTCATTTCCCACATTTGCTGCAAAAAAAATAAAGCCACCTTTAAAGTGGCCCTTTTTACTGTTCATACTTATAATTACATTAATAATGAATGTCTTAACTATATCCCCATTATGTTGGAGTACCAAATGAGGACACTAATATAAAAGTACTTGTTCAATTACACAATGAATTGAAGGAGAGACAGTTCCAAGAAGCGATAGAGTTTTAGTTCTTCTGTGGGCATCTGGCCCCACAAGAATACCAATTCCTTCATAATAAGTTTATTTTATAATACTCTGAAGACTATTTTCAATGGTTAAAATATTACCAGATTCATAAGCATATATTTTATTATACTCAGGGACCAAAATATTTTTCCTAGGAGATGGAGTCTAGTCTATATTACATAATGAAAATCATTCAGTAAATATGATCAAGTTTATTTTAAAAGCAGTTTTGCATAAAGAATAAACACATGGGGAAGATACAAGCATCTAGGGACGCATGTTTAAATATTTACTTAGCTAAGTTTTGTTACCTAACATTTTAGATTTCTTCCGATATTGGAATTTAAAAAGAAAAATTATATTTTCATTTATTGAAGAGCGATAATGAGCATCATTTCTGTAGCTTTAAATTTAAAATGTGTCTTTTACTGCCGTGGTTAGTTAGTAGGAAGGCCTCACCATCTGTGCAAAATATTCTATCAATTTTTATTTCCTCTACTATATCTGATTTCACATGGAATATTGCAAACTAGCACTTTGAAATAAAGAAAAATGAGCCTGCTTTGGTAAATATTGAGGATTTCATCTCTTATAACCTTCACTTTTTAATACTTCTTTCTGGGGTAATACATATCAGCCGGGTCTGATAACTTGGAAAGAAAGAAACTAATGGAGCTCCTCCCCTCGAAGCTGTTCTTTCTGAGCAAGCAGGGCTTTTCTCTCTGCACCTTGTTGCTTTAAGGCAACGGACAGTGAGGGGGTTGGAAAGAACTTCAGGAGGTTCCTCTGCCTACTTTGCAAATCTCCTTAGAGGCAAGGAATCTCATTCTGTGCACACAGAATTGATATTTCACCTGCACCACATTAGAAAAAAGACCATATCATACTCCTATCTGTAGATATTATGAATAAATGAAAATTTGAAAAAAGGATATACACATTGGAGCCTCAAATAATCCACGTGATGTGGAATCCAGGGGAGTAGAGAGGGCTGGGACGTGAATGGATGCAGACCTCTTCCAGGGAAAGCCTGCAACAGCCTCACTATAACCCTGCCATCGCTTCACACTATTCTATGATTTAAGTTCTCTTATTAATAACTGTAAAGTAATAAATTTCGAGCAAGAATGTGCTGCTGTAGTTTAGACATCAGAATGATAGAAACTCAAGTTCATTGCCGTGGCGTTAGGACTGACACACAGCTGAACTGTGAGCAGATCTATAAATTCCATCAGAGGAGATGGCTCTTTCTCCCGTGGAGCCATTGATGGATTCAAACAACCAGAGAGGCGCCACCTTATACCTAGCAGTGCGACTCTTTACCACCAGAGAGCCCTGGCGAATTTTGACATTAAAGGACTATTTCGGGGAAGTCTTACTTCTGTTTCTATTCATGTCCGCCCCATTTTCCATCTAGTTGCCTTGGAGTAGTTTCTGACCCATGGTAACCCCATATGTGTCCAAGTAGAACTGTGTTCTATAGAGTTCAATGGCTTTTTAAAAAATTAATGATTTCTTAATACAACTTAAATATTTTTTACAGCATATTCTTTCCATTTATTCTCCCCCATTCAGTCATTGTTTTACATTTTGCTCTCTGCCCACCCCTCCCCCCTCAGTTCGTTTTTCTCTTTGTAAAGAAAAAAAATTCTTTCATTGTCATACACTGGCTGTTATATATATTTGCAGGTTTTTCTTTCCAGTTTTGAGTGAACTTGATTATCCAACTTTTTGGCCAGCATTTGAGCATGGAACCATTTCACCATCAGAGATGACTCCTCTCTCCAGAAAACAATTAACAACAACACAATACCAAACCTACTGCCTAGGTTCCAACTCAGAATCATGACCCTCCATCAGACTTCCAAGGCTGTGAGTCTTTACGGAAGGAGGCAGCTCATATTTCTCCCTTGTAGCTGTTGGTAGATTGGAACTGCCCACCTGCCACTGAGCAACCCAATCTATTACGTGCTCGACAACCCGAGCTCCTTCTTCGGCGTGCTTTTTAATAATTTCACCTGTTTTCTTCTAGTAGCATGATTTGTTTAAATGATAATGGTATTTTGCACTCGCTAAGAAACCAGGCAATGGGATGAGGAGGTAACTAATTGCTGCTTTTTTTACCTCTGTCTTTTCTGAGGTATTTTCCAAAAGGCTCTTTAACAACAGCATCACTAGAGGACAGCCCTTTGCAGAGAGCAGTGTTTCTGACTCCCTGAGGGAGGAAGCTATGGAGATCCTGTGTAACTCCTTCAAGAACCACCTTGAGTCATGTTCTAATTAGACAATTTCTTTGTCTGAGATGCATTCAGTTTTCAGGATTTGGCAGAGCCAACAATTGAGAAGAAAGGGACTTTATAATCCTTACAACACTGCTTTTGAAAGAAGAGAGGGATGAAAGAAGAGAGGGAAAAATAATGTAAAAACTGAGAAGATGCTGACTCTCTTACTTACCTAAATCCTAATACGTGGATTTCTTTGAATCCTGGAAGTTTCTTAAATATCTTTTGTATCTGCAGAGAGAAAAGAAGTTGATAAAATTCTCTTTGGCTCCGGTGGATCCATTCTTACCTTCTTGTAAAAACCTAAATAATTTGGATGAATTAAAGGAAAAATAAAAATGAACCTGAAGAGGCTACAGAGGAGGAGCACTTTGTTCTTGGTTCTTTGTGGAAGCCAGAGACAGTGTATTTTTATAAAAGCTGTAGTTCGGTAGTTCTGACTGGCTTTAATGGTTATGCTATATAAAGTATGAAATAACTTTAAGGTGTTACTTGGAGGACAATTTTTTTTTTGCTATGGGCTTTTCATTTATATAAGCAGAATAATAGTTGTAATATATTGAGAATTGAATTATACACTTCAGAAAATATCTGCAATGTTAAAGAGATTATTAAAGTGAAAATGGAAGCTGTGGTAAAATAAGGTGATAAAAGACACTAACTTAATAAGATAGACTTGCTGTTCGATTTATATGAACCACACAATGAATTTTCTTAGTTAATTTGGTCTTGCTATGAGATATAGTTTTAGTTTCCTTAGATCTGCTGTAATGGAAATAACAAAAATGGGTGGCTCTAATGAACACAGTGTATTTTCTCAGAAGGCTAAAAGTTTTAATTTGGGCATTGGGTTTAGGGGAGGGCTTGTTCTCTGCCCATTGTGGGGAAAAAATCTTTTTATCAGCAGCTCAAGTCTCAGCATTCCTAGTTCCCTGGCAAAATCCATAGATAGAGTCTATCCTTCCCTCATTTGTACTTGCCTAATCCTCTCTGCCTAATCTTTGCTTTTTGTATCTGCAAAGTCATTATTTAGGACACATCCTGCACTCATTATGCAATATGATCTCATTAACATGATAAAGTAAACCTGGTTCTAAGTGACATTACATCTGCAGGTATAAGTTTCCAGCCTACATCTTGGGAGAAAAAGCTCGGTTATTAACAGTACATCTACTGTGCATTGACTAGATTCATAAACAATGTCCATGAAAGAAGCAGTCAAGAAATCAAGAGCTGAGTTGGTCAGTCTGCTGCTGAAGACCTCTTTACTATGCTAAACAGCACAGCTGGAACTTTGAGGACAAAGGTGTGCATGATTTAAGCAATGTTGTTTTCAGTCACCTCCTAGATGTGTGGAAGTTGGACAATGAAGAAGGAAGAAGGAAGAGTTGGTGCTTTTGATTTGTGGTGTGGGGGAGAAGAAATACTGAATATTCTATGAGCTGCCAAAAGGACAAATAAATGTATCGTGCAAGAAGTGCAGCCACATGCTCCTTAGAAGTAAAGATGGTGGGATTTCATCTCATGACATGTAGTCAGGAAAAGCCAGTCCCTGGAGAAAGACATCATGCTGAGCAAATTGGAACATAAGTAAAAAAGAAGAACCTTAATGAGATGGATTGACACAGTGATTGCAGCGATGGGCCAAGCCCAGAAGTGATTGTGGGGTCTGTGTGGTATCGTGCAGAGACTTTTCTGTTTTCTGTTGGGTCACTATGAGTCAACTAGATGCCACCACCACAACCATGTCTAATTATTTCCTTTCACCATATTCTAGCTTCTGATCCTGGTTTTTCCCCAGGAGGGTTTTCTCCAGAACATTGTCTTTTAGAGTGGCTCTTTCCAAATCCAGTGGTGTCTGTATTCTTTTGTGGTCCTTCTTCCGTCTGTTTTCTCCCTCCTTTTTCTATTTAAATATAAGCAGTCCTTCATGTTTCAAGCCACAGTCACCTTCTCTCATTCATTCCACTATCTAGTGGATAAGCTCTAGTCTAGACACTCTCCTCTGATTGTGGTCACGTTCTGTCCAGTAAGCTCTGACTCCTAGTTGTTCAATGTCCAACAGAATGAGAGTGGTCAGTCTAGAGTCATGCTCACAATCTCTGTGATGCTTAAGCCCATTGTTGGAGCCCCTGGAAGACACTGCCTCATAGACTAGAACTGTCCCATGCAGCTTCCCTGGACAAAGGCCGAGACGCAAAAGAATAGGTAATAGTTTAGGAGTGAACTTTGGAAGGGAAAACAGGTGGAATGAGGCTGAAGGGTAAACAAGATCTCAAATGTTGCCTTCTCTTCTTTATCCCTGTTAATTTCCTGTCACTCCTTGGGGAATCTTGCTTTCCCCCATGAGTTTGCCACATGAATATTCTAATATTTGTCCCTCACTGTTTATGCCCAGATCAAAGCAATTCCCTTCCACTCATATCTATCTTTCTCCCTGGGCTATCTCAATGAGGGTAATAAACCCCTCTCTCATGGTCCAGACAGCCCAGCAGCCCCCAAATGCCTATGTTCTGTATACCCTGCACATCTACCCACTGACTCCTTTTGGTTTGAATTCCACTGTATTTTTGTTTTTCGGCATATACTTCTTAGCTCCTTTCCTACATTGCTGAAATATTTTTCCGGTGTGTATGGAAGTGAGGAGATATTGACTTCTTGAATATTGTTGTTGTTATGTGCCAGTGAGTAGATCACTCATAGTGATCTTATGCACAACAGCTCTGAACTCTGCTGTATCCTGGGCCAATTATACTGCATCTGACATGCCTACCCTCATTACCCCAGTTACTGTGTCAATTAAGCTAATCTGCATTCTTCCTCTTCTGTGCCATAACTCCACCCATCCAAGATGTCTTTCTTCGAGGACTAGTCCATCCTGGAAACATGTCCCAAGCATATGAGTTGAAACCTCAAAATCCTTGCCTCCAAAGAACAGCTTGGCTTCACCCTCTCCAGGACAGACCCTTTTGTTTTCCTGGCAGTCCATGGTATGTTCAATACTCTTCTCCAGCACCATAACTCAAAGGCATCAATTCTTCTTCTGCTCTCTTTGGTCATTGTCCAGCTCTCTGATACAAAACATATAATTGCAAAGACCATGGCCTGTATCAGGGGCACCTTAATCTCTAGACAGATCCCATTGCTCTTTGGCACTCTGGAGAGGTCACTGACAATAGATCTTTCTAATGCAATAAATCTTTTTATTTAATGACAAGAGTGTTGATTGTGTAACCATTTCCCCACAAGTTAGTCTTCCCTTATTGTTGCTTTTCAGGAAAAACTCCTTAATGGGCTGCACTATTTGTTGAACACAGGAAGATTCCTTAGAATGGCATTTGAGATATTCCACAATTTGACAATTCTGTCCACTCCAATATTTTGTCATTTTCACTTCTGCCATCATTTCCATCTTGGCTAGTAACCTGTCATCTAGTCAAATGAAACATCTCCTGTCCCTTCCAAAATATTATACATACTTTTATTTCTCCAGGTCTCTCTGCATCATGTTTCCTTATCCAAGAAGTAATGTCGCTCTTTCAGCTCAACTTTCCATGGACCTTTTAAAGTCGGCTCCAATATCTTCTCTACTGAAATGTGTTTGTACAACTCCAAAAGTCTCAGGCTCCATTATTTCTTCTCCTAACCACACTAGTACATACAATAAAACACTACCAAAAAACAGTCTGTGTGGTGTGTGCACTCAAAGATTATACTCTCTGGGTGCAGGATATGCTTTAATTATTTGTCTTTATCCACCTCCTACCCAGTGGATAGTAGGGTGCCATTCACATAGGTGTGTGTGGTGGGGGGGAGAAAACACTGCTATCAAGTAAGAATGACTCAGAACTGATTCCTCAGCAGGCTTTCAGAGGCTGTAAACCACACAGGAGGATACTGCCTATTTTCTCTCATGAGAGTGGATGGTGGATTCAAACCAACTGCCCTTGAATTAAGAGAACAAGCTAGGTCACCACAGCACCCTAACCACATAGTAGAACTCAGAAGATTTGTTTAATCAAACTGATTGCATCCCTTCATTCTCTAAACTCATCAATATGCTAGTGTGTTGTTCCTCTCTCTGTAATTACTGCCAACTCCACGTTATTATCCATTCCAAGTGAGTGAGCAGGGATGCACCAGTAATACCCAAATCACTTATATTGAGCTTTGAAGTGCATCATGGACTTTTTTCTTCCCTGGGAGACTGATTCCCTTTAAATTACATTTTGTTTTATATGCTAAAATTAAAAAATATTTTTATCCCCTGAACATATACTAATAGCAAAGAAAGGTAACTCAGATTTTGGGTTATAATGAAGTATCTTAGTTGACTTAGTTTTTAAAATACTGGTTTTGTTACTTTTTAGCTGCAAGGACATTCATTCATTGTTTAATCTCTGAATCTCAGTCTCCTTAGCCAAACTGGTATAATAGTGCTTCAATCTCAAAGAATAATTCACAATTTAAAAATCCCTAGATCTATTTATTACTGTTGTATTTATTCTTGTTATGTGCCATCGGATCAACTCTGACACACAGTGACCTTGTGCACAATAGTTCTAAACCCTGCTTTATTCTGAGCCAATCTCACTGCTTCTGACACACCCACCAGTATTATCCCAGTTACTGTGTTAATCCATCTCATCCAGGGTCTTCCTCTTTTGCACTGTCCATCCATCTTTCTAAGGCTTATGTGTTTTTCTAAGGACTGGTCCCTCCTGGCAACATGCCCAAAGTATATGAGACAGAGCTTCAAAATCCTTGCCTGCAAGGGGGAGCCTGGTTTCACCCTCTCCAGGCCAGACCTGTTCTCTTGGCAGTCCATAGCATGTTCAATACTTTTGTCCAGAACCACAACTCAAAGGCATCAATTCTTCTGTTATTTTTGGTCATTGTCCAGCTCTCTGATGCATAATAGCAAGTAATTGTGAAGACCATTGCCTGAATCAGGAACACCTTAGTCTCTAGACAGACATCATTGCTTTTTAGTATTCTGGCAAGATTTTTCCCACTGCAGTTTGTCTTTTGATTTCCTGTTTTCTAGTACCAAAAATGTTGATTGTGGAACTGAGCAAGAAGAAATTATTATTAATCTCAATCTCTTCTCTATCTATCATGATTTGCCAAAAGTCTACATCCTTCAGGTGAATTATACTTCAGCAAAAAGAAAATAAAAATCTTCACAAGTGAACCAAGATATAGTGTCACAAATAGAAAATACTTAAGGT